TTTTTCTGAAGGAAATTAGTGATGCTTGAAATGAAAGCCATGGTTAGTGGCTCGGATTGAAAAGACCAGTATCAAGTAGTTCTTCTATGACCCGCCTTTGCATTTCGACCATGCAGTGATTGATATTCCTGAGGCGTTGATAGATGACTATCTTTGAAAGAGGATTCAGGACTGATTGATGGCTGGAAAGCACAATGCAGTGGTGCTCCCTCCACACAACTCCTCCTTTATTCCCCTTCGTGACCTTCTTACCTGTCCCTGGAAAGACATGCTTTGAAAACCAAAAGCAGAGTGATGTAAAATAAATAAAATGGCATGTGGGAAGCCATATAAAGATGATTAAAGATGGTGTGTGTGTTTGTGTGTGAGTGTGTGTGCGCGAGTGTGTACATTTATATTAATCTTTTTATTTATTTAAATATAAAATTTGTGTCAGTATTAATAGTGCAAATGGTTGTTACATGGCACTTGCTGCTGTTTGGTAATATTACTTTATTTTTTATGAAAAATTAAGACACATTTTATGGGGGAAAAAATACACTTATTATACTATTTATTATTATTTATTTACATATAAAATGTGTGTATTTATTTAAAATAGTATAATAATAGTAACAAAAATACCTTTTATTTATATAAAAGATGTGCTTAAATTGTCTTGATTAGACCTAGAAATAGTGCCGAATCATAATGTTTCTCCCTCAGATTGCGTTTCCATGTAATATTGGAATATAGCCCAGGATTTGTCCAAACAGAAGGAGTACGGTTAATCACTGTAAAGATGCTTCGGTTTTGTGTTTTACTGTCTGCCAAACCTCCTCATGTCTGCTTCAATCTCTTTAATATCCTTAAAGGTTCGTCTGAACTGCATCGGCAGCACACATGGTGACATCCCTCTCAGAAACAGATGGTTTACCAGTAAATATTTTCCTGTGTCAATTTGTCACAATCAAATCCAAAGCCTGAAGCAAGCGGATCATCTTACAGTCAGTCTTTTAAAGGAATAGTTCACCCTAAAAATGATTTTCTTTAATTTTGTTTCCCTACCAGTATGCTGTGTTTTGTATATATAAAAAAGTCATACAGGGTTGGATTGACATGAGGACGAGTTTGAGATGACAGAATTTTGATTTTGTATGACCTATCCTTTAAAACTAAAGTGAGCATGTTCATGAATGAAACTTTTTTTCGGTGTCATGAATTTCCCATCTTAGTTAATGACCTCCTGTAATCACATGTCCCACAGCTGTACCATAAATCTCATCAAAGGGAGAGCAGGACATTTACAGAAGTTAAATCAACAGCATGTTAGCTTTACTTTGCGGAGGTGCAGGTCTTTTAATGTTAAGTCTTCTAAGTGGTGGTCTTGACTGTTTTTATTGTGATTGATTGTTTGGGTGCAAGTTCAAAAGTCAGCCCATTTCCTTTGTATTTCTATTGTGTTCCTTGGCTTCATCTCAGGACTTTTACTGTACTCATTGTTAGGCTCCACGTTATCTGTTGTTAGGCTCCACGTTATCTGTTTTCCTGCGACGCAATATTTTGGCATGTAAAAACTTCACACATAACTTGGAGAAACAGCTTAATTGAAAACTGATTCTTGGGCGTTTTGTTTGAACTTCGTTAGATGTGCATTGTTTGCTTGAGGGTACAGGAAATCCCTCAAAGAAACACTGGGCCCCAAGGTAAAAAAGGTAAAGGAAATAAATGTAACTCTTTCTGGTGCATGAGAACCTGGAGCCCCCTCCCTCCAGGTGTAATGATAGTGAGTTATGGGAGTTTTAATGGGAATTTATGGGAAGAGGAAGCTTTGAAGGAGGATCTTGGACACTGATGAGACATCCTGCATGTTCACACTGCTTCCATGAGCGTGAGTTAAGCATGATTATGATCCTTGTGGAAATATGGACCCACTATATTGACTTATTTATGCATTGATATATTTATTTGTGCATTTATTTATCAATTTAATTATGATTTTTTTGTTGTTGTCTTTATTCATATTTATTTAATTTCTTAAGATTGCTATTAGGTCAAAATGTACTATGTTGATTTTATTGTTGTACAGTTTTGTGCCTTATGTAATATAATCTTATCAGTAACATTACAGGAGAGAGTTTTTAATAGAATTTAATCTGATGTAATTTAATTAGCTTTTTGTGATTTATATAGCAGGGTTTAAATGGCGACGTTAAAGAAAAATATTAAAGGAAAAAAAACATTGTGAAAAACAATAAAGATAAAATCTAATTTAAACCTGCAAATAAACATAAGTTTTAGTATTTTTAATCCACGTTAAAGTCATGGCATACAATGCAAAATGCAACAAAAAAAAAACAAAAGAAAGTATTTTCACCAGTGGAATCAGTTTTAAACCCCACTTCTCTATAATATACTATACTGTACTATTTTTATTATTTTATGTAGTTCATTCTCTTTGAGTAGTACTTGTGCATTACAAGAGATCCGGTCTTTATGAAACAGGGACTGGCGTCCAGAAGGAAACTTCAGGTTTAATCTTGGTCTTACAGAGTTCCTGTGCACAGACGCCATGGTTACCTGTTGCCAGGCCAACATTGTTGTTTGTGCGTCAGAGGAAGTGGCAGATACCAGTTTGAGAGCAGGAATTTGCTGCCACTGCTGATCCATGCTGACCCGAACGCTTGCACCGATTGGCACACATGACATGCACAAGCAGATTGTGACGGTAGCAGATCTGATCTGGTGGGTTCACATCCAATGCAAATGATGTAATTTGTTGCATAAGGCTCTTGAAATTCAGAGTGTCACAATTTTTTACAAATTCAAATCAAAAGACTTGTTCTCTTTGTTAGATAATGTGCTCGATTTATTCTGTATTGCCCTCAGGGGTCTTTAAATGACTTAATGATTTAGACTTAGTTCTCAACGAATATACTGTATCTTGGCAAATATGTTTTCTGCTTTATTTTAAGCATAAGCCTGACTGCATTTTCTTCGATGTATCCTTAAAAGAACCATGACAATCATGCTCAATCATGACAACATGCTATTTGAATATGGCAATGTTAATGCATTTGGTCTTGGTGGACTAGATCTGCTAAACTGCTGGAGATTATTATTGCTGCTGCAGAGCAAGTATGGATTTGCAGCTGCTAATATTTACACAGACATGCTGCTATGAGCATGTAAGATATGCTGCTGCTGCATAGACATACATAAATCCCATAGCAGATCTAGGCAGGTGGAGCTGGGGGAGGTGGAGGGTTTCAGGGGAACTCTGATAGCTCGTTGCAGGACTAGCTTACAGCAAACAATGAACCAGACTATTTAAATGTTGAACAAGCAATCTCATTGGCTGCAGACCAATCAGCTTGTGACATGTGGTAATGATGTGATTGCTTGCAGGCTGCATGTAAAGGACCTGTCAGCCTGCGCCCTCTAGTTTCATGACTGAACTAGATATTTAGATATTTTTATTTCAAAAAACTCAAATAAAAAGTTTCACAGTATTTCCACTATTTATTCAAGCATCAATTATTATGGGTAAATTATTATGGGTAAACTAGGTAAACTGAACTGATGTTGTCTGTATACACTGCTTTTAAAATGACTTCTCGTAATAGAGCGGCAGCACACACACATACACACCAAACGTGTGTATCGACACCAATGCGTCATGGTTGCTATCATGGTTGCACAGACTTTTAAACACAGAAAGGTGGCCTTTTTCTGCGTCTGGTAGAGTACGATAGCCTTCTGGTTATCAGTTGAGTAATTCGAGAGGAAAGACGCTTTTCAGCTCCACCTAAAGCTGGGAGTTTTGTTCTTCAAAGACCGTATGTGTCCGTGAGAGAGGGCTGGAGAAAGTGAGCAAGCATGGATGAGTTTAATACAGCTGGCTAGTTTATAAGACTGTATCCTATCATTCTGCCAACTTTCTCTTTTATTGTTCTCAAATGGAAACTCTTTTCGTTTGAACCCTTTTGTTGTCATCTGATATTTATCAGATATTTGTTCTCATCTGCAGTCACATCAGTTTATGTTCTGTTTGTGACGCCAGTTGTAGGAGAAAATACAATGCACATTCTTCCTATCAAACGGCACAAAAATGATGGGATTACCCATCATTCTTTTAGAATAGCCCTGTCATTATTGCATTAGAGCCACAGAATAAACCTTTGCTTTGCATCATCAGCTAATCTGTTTTGTTCCTGCTCTTTGAAACCGATGCCAGTGGGTGACATGGTCCATTAACTTTTATTCCCTACAAAATTATACCTCTGAATCTCTACAAGGGAAACCCCAAGAATTTGGCAGAAAGGATTTTGAATTGTCTCAATAGCTCCTCTCTGGCATGTTTTTGATGTACGTCATTTAAAAATCGACCAGAAAATTCATGTAAATGAGTAAATAAGATGACTTTTATGTGTCCTTTGAGGCCCTCGGGTGCTTCAGGGAGGCAAGGTGAGCTCTGGTACCTTCCAGTGTTTTCTCATTACGCTCCTGAACATGGCAGAACTTGTCTTTATGAGATCCACTGCAAACTAAAGCTTTTAAACTGCCGCTGATTGAGATTGATTGTGAAATTACTGCTTTCTCCAAAGCTCGGGATTAAGGTTTAATTGTAGTTGCGAAGTACTTCAAATGTATCTTGACTTTTTGTATAGTTTAAAATGCGACACAAACATTTACTACTATGTAATTTGCGATGAGTTGGCGGGTGTCTGCAGTATTTTTATTTGTTTTGCTTTGCTTGTCTTTTTGTGGGATAGAAAAGCTTGCATACCAAATAAAGTACTGTTATTTATTTTATTTACTATAATTTCTGCCTTTTTTCTGTTTTTTTTGTAATTTTTATATAACTTGATTTTATTTTATAGAACTATTTATTTTTATTTACTACTGTTATTTATTTTTATTTGCTATGTTTTTTTTACTATGTTTTTTTTTTTTGGGCCACCAGATCTTTCACATACCTGTTACATATAAAAATGTCTCTTTTACATCTGTCTTTGCAGAGAAAGTGAAAAAAGACAGCGCAAAAGGCTGTACGAGTTCTCTCAGCGATGGACAACGCGATGTGAAACCTTCACAAAAAGGTGCTAAGAACACTTCTAAAAAAGGTGAGCTGGTTCATAGAGATTATTTATGAGTAATTTAGGCAGGTCTGGACCTCCACGTTATTAATCTAATGGGTCATCGCTATGAGAGATACAATGTCTCATACCGAAAGTGCTCCAGTACCTTGAGATGGCACCCTGGCGTATCATACATGAGATTATAACGCCCCTTGGATCCAATCACATGGCACAAGTTAATACTATTGGCGGAAAGCCCAGAAAAAGAAATTCAAGACAATAGGCTAAAACCTTTGACACACTGTACTTCAGGTCACCAATTCATGCTTTCAATGTCAAGTGAATTACACTCAAGCAGAGAGCGTATCTACCAACTGTACTCTGTCACCTACCCGACTCAAAACCACCAAAACAGACGCTTTGAAATACAATACAGCCCACATTTCCTTGTTCTGTTGATGAGATTACAGGGGACAGGCTGAATCCCTAGTGGCATATGTGGCTGACATGGATATCTGTTCTCTAGCACACAGCCTGCATTAGCAAGAGCAGGCCGGCAGCACCTGTGTAAATGTGATAGTCTGATAACATTCACTTTTGTGCTGTGGGCGCATTTGTGCTGTGATGTTTGTTTGTATCTGGAAATATACTGCAACTCACAGAAGTTCACCCATTGACCCATTGGTACTACTTTTTAAATTTACTCACTAAAGACACTTTTCCACTACAGGAACTTTCCCCAGGAACTAGGGACTTTGGGGTGGTACAAACCGTCGTGTTTCGACCGCAGGGACCAGGTTCTAAATTAAGTTCCGGGTAAATATTTCCCCCTCAGAGAGTCCCTGCTCTGCTCGCAAGGTAGTACTTTCTCAAAGTTAAGGAACTTTCTTGGGCTTGGGCGCTGAACATGGGCGCTCAAGTTCACGCAGCATTTCAATTGGTTGACTCCACGCAGCATTTTATTTCAACCACCAGTCTTTTGCGGTGCTCGCAGTAAGAGTTGTTGCGGTGCTGTTCAAATCAACAATGGAGTTTTAAAAATTCGACCAATGGACCGACGCGACGACAAGGTTCAGGCTTTATTAAGCTTATACGCGGAGGATGAAATCCAGCGGGAACTGGAAATAAATTTGCCGGACTAAATCTTCAAAGTATTTTAGACCGCGATGGAAACACAGACAGCAACAGGTCTGAAAAAAAAAAAAAAGTTCCTGGAACAAATTGTTCCGGGTAATTTCGGTGGAAACACGGCTACAAGTGATTGTGTGTGTGTATAATATATTTGTATAAATGTTGATAAACATATACTGGACTTCCACTTCCGAGTCTTGCGATCCGTGATTCTTGAGACTTTCTTAAGATTACGTTTCTTTTGTGTTTCTACAGAGGCTCCGGGCTCCGGCGCTAAGAATGTTTTCACACGACTGCTGAAAGTGGCTCAGCATTACCTTTTGGAATCAGGCAAGTATAGTACAGCTGCCAAATCTTCTCCTGCCAAGAAGAGCCCTGCCCTCAGCCGCCTCCCCAAAGCAAGAATCTCCACCTCCTTCGCTCAGGCACAGGTGCACCTGCTTTTATGACCACCTTTGTATATAGATAAACCACATATTTGGCCTTAAACATGGCCTTTGCATTATCTGAAATCAAAAATGACAATGTGGTATCAGCAACTCGAATGTCTGTATTATATTTCTGAGAGAAGATACACTTTTGACACCTTTTTTGCTATACATTTATTCTATGTACATATTCAGTCTAAGAAATATGTGATTCAGGTTCGAACCAAGAGGAGCAGTAGTAGACGTTCCCAGAATTCCATTCTGGGTGGGGTCAAGAAGGAGCGACTCCCTTCTCAAGATTCAGATGAAGGTGCTACTGAAGACAGGTGTGTAAAAGAAATAGAGGCAAGATGGTAGAGCGATGTACAAGGAGTCAATAACCTGTCCCCTTTTGTGTTTAAATGGGTTTTCGTTAATTGGTACATTTTAATTGACTGCAATTCCTCTGCCTCAGAACTGTTAAATATAATACACTAATATAAATAGGATACTTCCAAAAATAAACATTTTGTCATTATTTACTCAAGTAATTGTTCCAAAATTTGAGTGTGAGTAAATAATGACCAAATTTTAATTTTTGGAAGTATTAAAAAAAAGCATATAACCCATGACTTTTTTTTCTCTCTCTTTGCAACACCAAAAAAAGTATTCAATGGAATTACAATAAATAAGAATATGCCTCTTGAAAATAAAATGAAGAAATAATTACCAGACATAATGTATTATTAAAAAATAAAAATTAAAGTTTAAAACTTATTCTTATTCTTTTTATTTACTTATTTTTATTTTAATAATTATTTTATTATTATTGAAAATAATTTTTTTAAATGTAACTTTATCCATTTGATGAACAGACATAATTCAATAAAAAAAAATCCTGAAATTCATCCTAAATTATAGCATGTTTCTGAGAGAACTAGCGATGTCCACTAGCGAATCACACAACTCTTATAAACAACTTTCATGATGATTCGATGGTACTTTTGCATCCTTTTTGAAGCTTGAAAGCTCCAGTCCTTATTAAAGGCACACTATGCAAGAGTTGTACCTTAATATAACAGCTTCAAAGTCATTTCGGTGGTAAACAAACTCATAGTAGGGCGAATCATCCTGGTAGTAAAGCTTGGGGGGGGGATGCCGCTGGAAAAACCAGCAATGCAAGTTTGAGAGGAGCGCCCCTGTCAAATCTCGCGAGAATCACAACATGCTTTACGGCAACGACGTCACACACATCAACAACAACATATGAAGCACGAAGACACTTGCGCGCATTTCAGACGTGATACTCGACGATGGAAAAAGCAAAGAAAACGCGGTCGGAAGAGACTAGGAAAAGGAAAAGAGAATGAGCCTCTCTGCTCAACCCGTAAATAAATGCATCAATCCGCAAGTTTTGTTTGAGTTCTTTAATGGTCTAGTGGTAAATCTTTTGCCAAGCGTGTCAGAGGTTACAGGTTCTACGTTTTTTTCTCTCTCATCAAAACTGAATATGTTCATCAGTGGTTACAGTCTATATCAAGCAGGGACACGTTTTTGTGCTTTTTATTTTGTGATTTCACCGGAATGAATAGAGAGTCTCCGCAACGGCGATAGATTGAAGAGCGCGTCCGAGTGAAGACTGCACGCCACAGAGAACACTGTATCCATGACACTGATAGCAGCGGACACGAGCGCTCAGCTTGAGTTCAAAAACACATTTTAGTGCTAGATCTCTTATTTAATGAAAAAAAAATGCACACTGCAAGATTTGTACCTTAATATAACAGCTTCAAAGGGGTATCAGGCCATGAGTGCAGAGACCAGTCTGGCAGAGACGCTCTGCGTGAGTGGTATTTACGACAGTAACGTTAAATACAAGTACTCCACAGCGACTCTAGGGGTCGCTGTTGGACAAAAACGGAATTCCTGCATAGTGTGCCTTTAAAGGGTTAGTTCTCCCCAAAATGAAAATGCTGTCATTAATTACTCACCCTCATGTCATTCCAAACCCGTAAGACCTTTTCAGTCTCTGAACAGCGCCAGAGACTGACACAGAAGAATAAAGGTTTTTTTCCGCACAAAAAGTACTCTAGTTGCTTCATAAAATTAAGGTTGAACCACTGTAAGGCAAGGCAAGGCAAGTTTATTTATATAGCACATTTCATACACAATGGTAATTCAAAGTGCTTTACATAGAAGAAATTAAAATAATCAAAACAAATAAGAATAATTAAAACAGTTTAGAATAAAAAATAAAGTACAGTAAAAACAGTCGGACGAACAGTGGCACAGTACTCATTCAGTAAATGCATAGCTAAACAGATGTGTTTTGAGTCTGGATTTGAATGTGACTACTACTGTAGTCACATGAACTATTTCAACAATGTGTTTACTACCTTTATGGGCCTTGGAAGTGGCAATTACGTTGCAGTCTATCTTTATTTCTGTTCCGAAAAGATGAACGAAGGTCTTACGGGTTTGGAACGACATGAGGGGGAGTAATTAATGACAGAATTTTAATTTTTGGGTGAACTAACACTTTAATTGTAATTGCATGAAAAAAAACAGCCAGCACATTCTTCAAAATATCTTTTTTGTTGCACAGAAGAAATAAAGTCATACAGGTTTGGAACGAGATGAGGGAGTAAATGATGAAAGAATTTTTATATTTCTGTGAATTATCCCTTTAAACAATGTTCAGGTAGTTAAAGATAGGTGGATGCCACCAATCAGGTCTTGCGTTTTTGTTTTGTTTTTTCGTCGCCACAGAGTGACATAATTTATGACTTTGTACTTTTGTCTGAGCATGAATGAATCTGGTTCTGGAGCTTTAACCGTATGGGAAAATGCTTCTGGCTAGTTGAAATAGTTTTGCGTGTCTAACTCACCTGTTTGCATGTGTGTGTATCTGATTATCTTTGTGCAGGAAATTCAAGTTCAAGTGCGCGTCATTGAATTTTATTATGAAGGCTTGTGTTCATACAGAACATTGCTAAGATGCCTAGATGTAGGCATAGTTTTGTAATTAGTTGATTTAGGTATTACGATTTAAAATGGTTTAATCCATATTTCGAGGTGGCTGCATCCAACGTAATATCCCATAGTTCCTCAATGTTTGAAATAATTGGAAAATGTGCAATTGAAATTATGCAGTAAATTTCAACATTTGAACACCCTGGTTGTTTTTTTATATCCTTTCTCTTGATAAAATTTGGATTAAGCATGCTTACATATACCTGACATTCCCATCAGCTCCTGCATTAGGGTCAATAGAATGATCCTTGAGACGGAATCGGGTCACTGAGGGGTCAGCGCATGGATTTTTTAATTTGACATGATGAGGAAATAAGGGGGCTGTTTCTCTGTGTGTGTCCAATCACCCAGCTCAAGTTTTCATCACTTCACCCTGATCCCAGAAAAACAGGCTTAAATACCTGGAGAGCAGGCTGTGTTGAAATACAGATATTCATTGGCCAGTCATGGAAGGAATCAGTGATTTTAAAGGGGTTTTAGGGTTATCCAGATTTGCATAAATAGGGTATTAGAAATAATATTGGAAAAACTCAAAGCTTTGTACAAAAGATCAGGATACTCTGGCATAGTATTTTGCATCTTATAGGTAGCAAACGCTAGTTGGTCTGTGCTGTGAAAAAGCATTTTAATCCTAAAACAAGATACCTTTAATTAAGAAGAAGAGTTTGCTCAGATAAATAAAAATATAATGTATTAATATAGATACTTAATGAAAATTCATTAAGTTGATGTAATTATGCTGTTTAGTTTTTAATGGTTTATTTGAATGATTATTTGCATAAAAAAGTACATAAAACATGTGGTTTATTTAAACCGTAATGTTCATTGAATGTAGTCAGTACTAGTTCTTAGTCAATAGCAATTTCCATACTAATACATTTTGAACTGTCTAGTCATCTGTTACACAGTGGGGATGATAACTAGTGTGGCTATGCTATGTTTTGTGATGCAGTAAGTGTAATTATATGAGGGTGTGTGTGTGTTTTTTGTGAGTACAGTAAACAGGGTGTATCATTCATGACTGCAGGTGTAAATCAGTGTGTGTATGGTGTCCTGTTACTTCGGTGTAAAATCATCCAGTTAAAAGCAAAAGGAAGTGGAGATGGTCTCAGTAGGCGCGTTTCCATTACAGATTTGTGCAAAACTTTTGCGATTTTTTTTCTTTTCTTTTTTTCTTCTTTTTTTCTTTCTAAATGTCGACATTGCGAAATGATGCCGTTTCCATGTTATGCGACTACAACTTTATTTTTTCTTTGCAGTTTTGCGAAATATTTCTTTTTCGAATTGCCTGAAAAACCACCTCATGCGAGCGTAAACTTTTTTGCGATAAATGGGAGTTTTTGCGAAATTGACGTGTTTCCATTGGGCGTATTTTCAATTCGCGCAATTTGAAGGGTAATTGAAATGCCTATTGTTTGTTTGCAGATGCCACTTGGTTTATGCAATAAAATAAATAAATGTTTAAGTCTGTCCAAATACAGTCACTGTATGTCCCTGAGTGAGTTTTGAGTACTGATTTCTGGCTCTTCACAGCTCCAACTCTTCAGTCCGGCGGGTGAGGTCAGGGCCCGTGGGTAAAGTGGCTCGCAGAAGGAGTCGAGGTCAGTCCAGACGAGGAACTTCCCTCCTGTTGAAGAATCGCAGCTCTAGATCTCAACAAACCTCTGAGCAGCCTGAGAACAGCAAGAATGAGGATTGTCAAGAAACCCAAAGCAGGTACTTAATCATTTGCATTGAAGATTAATACATATTTGCTTTGTGTAGGCGCAGTGAAGACATTTGATCTTCTATCATAAACATTTGTTTGGCAATAATTAATGTGTTTTAACATTCTCTCTCCTTTGAGATCGGCTTAAGCTGACAGGTGGCCACGTTGGTTTGGTTTGGCAGGTTTTTGTACTCGTTGAAGACGTTAGTTATAATGATGCTTTAATCTGGGCCGAATCCCTCACATTGAAAGTGATTCATGCGACCGTATGGATTCTCTACAATAGAAAAGGATTTAAATAAAAAGATCAGGTAACCATGAAAGGTGAAAATTGAACGAGGTAAATGGGTTTTAGGGGCTTTTTTCACCACTTTCGAGTGGCATACCTGTGGATTAGTTTGAGCCCAGTGAGGAAGTCAGAGTTTTTGTTAGAAATAAATCAGGGCTTGTACATACTGTATATATCACAAGCCAAACCTCAAGCATCATATTTATCATCAATAATCAATATCATATTGGCTATTAGATATTACATTTTGATTTTATTTATTGATTTATATATATCAGCCAGTAATAGATATTTGTCATCTAACACTCACTTGAAGTTGATGTTTAAAAACACTTATAATTTAATAACACTGTTAAGTATAATTTTTAGCAATCTCTAAATGAGTATCTAGTTTTTCATATTGTACATTATAATGTTGTGTTGCCTTAATTCTAGGGATGCACGATATATCGGCCACCATATCGGCATCGGCCGTTATATGTTCATTTTTAATGTTATCGTTATCGGCCCAATAAAAAAAATTGGTGTATATATATTAAAGCTCATAAATAATGGATTATTTCCTTCAGCTGAGACACTTCAAATGTGCACTGTTCGCCATGATGGTTTTGAATTGCTTGAAATATGATTGGAATCCATTCAAAAAAGGATAATACAGTTAAGTGCAACATGTGCAGCGCAAGTCTGTCATATAGGCCACATAAAATTATAATGAGAACATTATAACTGTGTGCTTGAGACATGGATTTTAATGGTGAGACTTTTGTTTTTGTAATCAGGCTCTCAAAAATTATATTAAAAACCTGGATTTAGATTTATTATCCAATATATCGGTTATCAGCTTTCAAATATAAAGAATTATCAGTTATGGGTATCGACCAAAATTTTCATATCGGTCATCCCTACTAAATTCACATTTACAATAGCATTTAAAACAAATGGTTGTAGTGTTTGGTTTTTTATTTATTTAGACAAAATAGTGCTCATTTTAATACCGACCATTTATTGGTTATCGGCTGTAATGTAAAATGAATTATCAAGTTATCTGTTTCGGAATTTTAATATTGGTGCATCACTATATTTATCAGAATTCCCACCTTGAGAAATTCATTGCATTGACTTTGTCACTGGGGGAAAAAGTGAATGATAAAGATAGCTTATGAGCCTGCTTTTTTGGGCCCTGACACCGTTTTACATCCAGGATCTTTACCCTCTGGGATCAGGCGGAAAAGCTGTAGGTGTGGTGGAAAAATGAAGCAGAAGCCTAGATCTCCGGTCAGTTATGTCAGCAGGCTGTATTTAAACCCTCAGGCCCCCAGAGGCCAATGTCCTGCCATTTCCACCTGCCCTCTTCTGACACCGGAGCAGAGTCAGACCAGCTATGAAAACAAGCATCTGGCCTTTTAACATCCACCTTCCTGGTGCCTTTGCACTGTCCTTTGTAGCACTTGTAATGATGTCAGGGAAGACCGTGAAACTTTCCTTGAATGGGACTTGAAAGTTTTTGCAAAGGCTTTCTTAAAGTCACCATGAAATCAATTTTTTTTATTGCAGTATTTATTATGATTTTTTTTTTTTAAAGTACTTTAATCAAGATAACTGTCCCTCCCTTTTGCAATGACTTCTCTGATGAAGTGTTTACTGGCGTGAGGGCGGAGCAACCTGTCACTCACATGAGATCACAGCAATAGCCAACCACAACCATCCAATCAATTCGCTATGGACAAAATCCATTTTTTTTCTAGTTTGAGATGCTGTTTCTCTTATTCACTTATTATTGGTCACAATAGGGAAGAAAAGACTCACAACTTCCGTTTCACATCGACTTTAAGTTTGTGTCTGTGCGTGAGTGTTCAACAAACATGTTGTTCCTCTATTTCAGCATCACCTCCTGAGAATTTTAATCCTCCCGTGAACCAATAATGCTGTTAATACGGGGTTCAAAATGAGGTTCCTGAATCCTTGCCAGGAACATCTTAATTACTACTTCGAAGCATAAAAGTGGTCTAAGTACATTTTTCTTTTTTCAAATTCATAGAGAATAATGTGAAGAGAAACTTTTATGCAGGCTAACTGACTCGGTTTTCTTCCAGTTAGTTTTTGGTTTTATAAAAAAATGTCCCTGTGGCACATAAAAAGTAAACACAATGAAACTCTTTTATGAAAGGAAATTTAGTCCGAAGGTTTCCTTTTGGCTTCGGAGGTGTCCAATAACCGCATACGATTTGTTTTGTTAATCTTCTTCACTTGGTTTTGTTTTGCTTTTATCTTGTTTTTTCTTCTTCTTTTAAACATTGTATTTTTTTGTTTCTTCTTAGTTTTTTGTGCATTCCTTTTTAAACTTTCTATCTTTTACTTTGGTTATTGCTCTATTCTGCTTTTTTAGTTTAGCTTTTTTTTTGCTTTCTTTTAAACATTCGATCATTTATTATCTTAAAAATTTATTTATTTGCAAATGTAATTTTAAATACTTAAATATTTATTTATTTAATTTTTAGAGCAATTTAAGTTCATTTAAATTGTAGTATATAAAATGTACTTTTTATATTTCCACTTTTTATGCTTCTTTCCATTGGTAAACTTCATATACTTTTATTAGATGTTTGCAATGGACGTTATTTTTGTTGCTCAGCGAGTTTAAAAAATTATAATAATTTATTTACATATTTTGAATTTGATTCTTATACAAGTAGTGTATCAGGGGATAACTACTACTTTTTTCCTTCTTTGAAGTTAGCAGTGCTTCTAGTGGAATGATTGTTGTTGTTTTTTTTGTTGTTTTTTGTGCTTTTTCCCCACCACAGTTCGCTTTCTTCTCAAACCTGACTGGATCTGTGGTGTGGTTCTTTTCTTAATCTTGTGATTACCAGACGTCCCACCTCTGAAAAGAGCCAGAGTGAGGGAGGGTATGGGAAAATCCTGTCCCTGTATGCCATGTGTGCGTCACGCTCCGAACGAACAGCGGAGACATGTGATCCCATGCCCAGTGTTTGATCTTCCTCTTCAGTATCTGGTTTCCACGGGCTCCCAGGGGGAAAGATTACAGCATATCTGGCAACTCTGACAATGAAGTGATGGGATACATGGGCTGAAATACAGCACACATTTGTCGATGTGTGTAGGTTCGTGCCCGGCTGTTGGATAGGGGTGCGATAGCCTTTGTCGTTCGCTCAGGTGCGATAGTTGCGTAACAACCGTGAGCGTGAGTAGGAAAGTTGATCAGGGAACTGCTGACATTATCTGATCACATAGAGATTCAAGTGACCGTGTTGGTGGCTCTGCTATAGGTGTTGCATAAACAACACTGAGGAATGATGTGGTAGGATCAAATCACAAGGGAAGTGTGTGTCGTATGAACTCCCATGATTAACAACACCGAGCCGGAGTGGCGTTTACTTATTCATAGGTTAGCTCCTGATTTCCCAGCATCACCCTGCTGTTTAGAAGTCTGTGTCTTCCCTAGAAGAGCGAGTCATTAGGGAATTTCTTTCCATCTTGTTTCGAAACCCGAGTCCGTGCGAAGTTTTTAAAGTGCATGGTTACTCGGTTGTTTTAAATATCATTTAGACAGGTGAGTAATAGTTTAGCTCTCTTCCAAAGCCTAGTTGCAATTAACTTCACGACTGATTAGAAATGCACAGGCGACTTGACTATTTTATTCCAATAGAGTTTGACATTAGCATGTTGCTAAGATAACAACTCGGTAGTAAACATAATTAGTGCACAGTTAATAGCTTTTAATATGCTATATTATATGTTTTATATTTTCACACACAAGTACAGTATATTGAGTTCAAGTTTTTATATGGATCTAAATTGAAAATGTTTTACTTTTAGGATTTGAATGAAATCCAATATATTTATAACTGAAGTTTCTCCTAATTCACTGAGCGTGCCATTCTTCCTTAGATTTTAGCCAAATTATTATATATTTAAAGGGAGATTAGGGTTACTAGATTTTGCAATTCATTCAAACATTCATACAAATATAAAATGTTGGTTATGCAAATTTAATATCTGTATTGATGGAAATGTATAGGTTGGATCTTTGGTACTAAATGAGGAGTGCGGGTCTTTGGACTTTGAATATTTCACACTCTTTAACTATGCAAATATTTCCCAACCGAGAGGAATGGTCTGGATCTTTCTTCATCACACAAACACACACACCTGCCTTTTGTCCTGCACACAATCAATGTGCTGACCTTTATTACTTTTGAAGAGGTGTAAAGATGCCACTTCAAGTTTCTTTCAAGGATCCTTCTCTTTCTGCACATTCACATATATATATATATATATATATATATATATGTATGTGTGTGTGTGTGTTTTCATTCATTCCAGTTTAGTTCATGTATACTTGGTGTAATTGAAATTGTTTGAATATGTTTGCATATCTTTAACTGACCCCAGGTGATCTTGCTACAGTACAAGGTCCACCAAAACCACTGTTCAAGCTCACTCCTATTGTGACCACAGAAATACTAAATGAGGTTTAGTTGCCTAAGTGTAATTTAAGCATGAATATTGATAATTAGTGCCGTCAAAATTACATCTATAGGGTCCATAAGTCTGAAACCATTAGTGAAAACTTTTACTTTGCATGCTTTTATGTATACAGTATATATATACTGTGTATGTGTGTATATATATATATATATATATATATATATATATATATATATATATATATATATATATATATATATATATACATACATATAATCCGGAAATATTCAATTACTTGAAGTTTACATGAATTTCTTAGTATTTGCTTTGATGACAGCATACAAAATCATATAAAATAATAATTATAAAGTCATATTTTCTGGCTTTTAAATATTTTAGAACACTAAAAATGGCAGTTTTTTCCCCCATATTTAAATGACACAGATAACATTTACACCTTCAGGGCTTTGCCACTTCACTCCAACCCGTTCACGTACGTTCATGTCCAAGTCACACTTGGGCAGTGTTATGCTGTCCAGGGTCAAGAGGCCAGCAAGGTTCTTTAATGAACCAATGAATTATAGATATTCGGTAAACCCATCATCAGCAAAGGTCCAGATTTCCATTTTTCCCCACATCCTTTTAAGCAACAGCAGCTTTTTTAACATTATAGAGTTTGTGCCCAAATAGGTCATCCCAAACCCAGGTCTTTATTTCCATGTAACAAAAAAGGAGAAATTTTTCACTGCAGGTTTTCCATGCAGTGACCATAACGGACAAAAAAGCACCGTGCAAGTTGTTAATACAACCCGTGCACTACATTTGAATTCTTTTTAAGTTGTAGAATAGCGAAATATTATTTCATATATTCAATCTTACACACAAGAACCAATAGCGTTTGGTGTCATTGATGTTAAAATCTGTTGTGCCTGTTTGAATATGTGAATTAATGTCCGTCGGATCGCATTTCGATCCATCAAGACTGTGAGATCGGTATTTCTGGCCATTCTACACCTCCATTGTCCTCCAGGCTGCTCTGTCTCAGTGGCTCTCCTCTCGCTGGGCCTTCTGCACCTCACAGGACCGACAAACGCTAAATCCAGCATGGCTAAACTCTTCAGAATAATCTTCTTAAACACAATTGTGGCGGACCCCAGTGAATGTGCAGTGGAAAGCAGCTGGTCCATACGGACACACATACTCCATACTGGTGCATATGATAGACTGCAGAGCTCTCAGGCTGTATAGCGGAGCTGGGGAGCTTGAAAGAGACATATTGGGATAAAGCATTCTTAATCTGAAAGCATGCTTAGCACACCGTTTAACCACCACTGGGCTTGTGTTTGTGGACATAGTGATGTGGAAACAGATCGGCCCTATTCATAGCTCCAGCTGGTGAATGTGCGATTCTCTTCGGAAGGAAAACACTTTTAAAGCAAGGAGTTCTTATGAAAAAGAGGAGCTTGTTATCTTTGCCACAGAAACATTCTTAAATGCATCAGTTAGAGCCACAAATGTGATTTTTAGTGGATTTTCCGGTTAGTTGATTCAAATCAGCTAATGAAACATAATTCTTGAACATCAAAACTTAAGTTAATTTTGCGCAATCGGTTTAAATTTGTAAAAAAAAAAAAAAAATTGTTCATTACCAGATTTTCTGAAAATCTCAAGCGTTCATTTTTGTCAGTGTGCTGTTTAGTACAATTCTAATACTTTAAGAATTTTAAAAAATCATCATCTTTTTTTTTTGTTGAATATTTTTTTTACACTTCTGGTTGTATGCCAGAAATTTTGTTTTGTGTATTAATTTTTTTATATATATATATATATATATATACACTACCGTTCAAAAGTTTGGGGTCAGTGAGAATTTTATTTTTATTTTTTGGAGGAAAGAAATCAATACTTTTATTTATCAAGGAATAATTAATTTGATCGAAAGTGACAGTAAAGACATTTATAATGTTACAAAAGTCTTTTGAACTTCCTATTCATCAAAGAATCCTAAAAAAAAAAAAAAAAAAAAACTGTACAACTGACAGACCAACAACTGTTTCAACATTGATAATAATAATAAATGTTTCTTGAGCTTCAAATCCTCATATTATACTGATTTGTGAAGGATCATTTGACACTGAAGACACAGCACTGTGGGGCTGTTTACACCTGGCCACTTCATGCGTTTTCCGTGATCGGATAGCTATCCGATCGTGAAAAGACCAGGTGTAAATGCCCTCTGAAACGCATTCGAGACGGATTTAAATCCGATCACTCAAACCACTTCAGGAGGTGGTCTGGGCCGCATTCCAGATGAAACTGGACAAGTGTAAATGCATCTGGTTGTTGAAACCACATATGTAAATTTCACTCCTCACAAAAATGCTAAAAAATAAACGTGTGAGAGCGTGTTATATAGGCTATATGTCATGTTATAGTCAGATATGACGTCGCTACTGCAACACGCATTACCGCAGAAGAGCAGCTGAGCATCTATTCATCAAGCCAACGTGCAAACTATCGCAAATCAAAGTGAAAGTAAGTCGCAGACGCTTAACACACTAATCATCTTCATTAAAAGTAAAGAAACGAAATGATCTTACCAGGGCTGTTGCCGCTCCCTCTTATTGCGGTCTTTGATTTTGAAATTAGCTGATGATCAATAAAATGCAGCTCATATCTGTTGCTTTCGGTGACGTGCACTCCATTAAATCTGCATATAGCGCGGGAATTGAAGATCGGATTTATATCCGTTTTGCAAAAACACATTTATGTGACCAGGTGTAAATGGAATCGTTTTGATAAATCAGATAGCTATCCGATCTGAGAAAACGCATGAAGTGGCCAGGTGTAAACAGCCCCTGTGATGCTGAAAATTCAGCTTTGATCACAGGAATAAATTACACTTTATTATATATTCACACAGAAAACAGCTGATTTACACTGGAATAATATTTAATACTATAACTGATTTTTGTTGTATTTTTAATCAAATAAGCGCAGCCATGGTTAGCAGAAGAGAATTCTTTTAAAAGTATTTAAAATCGTACCGACCCCAAACTTTTGAACGGTAGTGTATATATAATATAACCACATATATTATATAAAATAACTTGTATTATATATATACACTCACCGGCCACTTTATTAGGTACACCTGTCCAACTGCTCGTTAACACTTAATTTCTAAGCAGCCAATCACATGGCGGCAACTCAGTGCATTTAGGCATGTAGACATGGTCAAGACAATCTCCTGCAGTTCAAACCGAGCATCAGTATGGGGAAGAAAGGTGATTTGAGTGACTTTGAACGTGGCATGATTGTTGGTGCCAGAAGGGCTGGTCTGAGTATTTCAGAAACTGCTAATCTACTGGGATTTTCACGCACAACCATCTCTAGGGTTTACAGAGAATGGTCCGAAAAAGAAAAAACATCCAGTGAGCGGCAGTTCTGTGGGCGGAAATGCCTTGTTGATGCCAGAGGTCAGAGGAGAATGGCCAGACTGGTTCGAGCTGATAGAAGGGCAACAGTGACTGAAATAACCACTCGTTACAACCGAGGTATGCAGCAAAGCATTTGTGAAGCCACAACACGCACAACCTTGAGGCGGATGGGCTACAACAGCAGAAGACTCCACCGGGTACCACTCATCTCCACTACAAATAGGAAAAAGAGGCTACAATTTGCAAGAGCTCACCAAAATTGAACAGTTGAAGACTGGAAAAATGTTGCCTGGTCTGATGAGTCTCGATTTCTGTTGAGACATTCAGATGTTAGAGTCAGAATTTGGCGTAAACAGAATGAGAACATGGAACCATCATGCCTTGTTACCACTGTGCAGGCTGGTGGTGGTGGTGTAATGGTGTGGGGGATGTTTTCCTGGCACACTTTAGGCCCCTTAGTGCCAATTGGGCATCGTTTAAATGCCACGGCCTACCTGAGCATTGTTTCTGACCATGTCCATCCCTTTATGGCCACCATGTACCCATCCTCTGATGGCTACTTCCACCATGTCACAAAGCTCTAATCATTTCAAATTGGTTTCTTGAACATGACAATGAGTTCACTGTACTAAAATGGCCTCCACAGTCACCAGATCTCAACCCAATAGAGCATCTTTGGGATGTGGTGGAACGGGAGATTCGCATCATGGATGTGCAGCCGACAAATCTGCGGCAACTGTGTGATGCCATCATGTCAATATGGACCAAACTCCCTGAGGAATGCTTCCAGCACCTTGTTGAATCTATGCCACGAGGAATTGAGGCAGTTCTGAAGGCAAAAGGGGGTCCAACCCGTTACTAGCATGGGGTACCTAATAAAGTGGCCGGTGAGTGTATATAATTGTATTACAATTAAATACTATTAATTAATAATAATATTTAAAATAATTATTATATTATATTATATTATATTACATTATATTGGTAATACTTTCTACCAAAGTCTTCATCAGATGACCATATGCTGTGCACAGTCAAATATGCTGTGGTCATGCATATTCATTTTCTGAATATGCACATCTTGTAGATATAACTGAATGAATTTCAGTTCATACAAGACTAGAACAAACCCATTTGAATTTTTGATTCCATTCGATTTTAATTGTCATTGAAAAGGTTTCATTTAATGGGAATATTTTATTATTATTTTTTGAGTGATTTTAAGTGCAAGATACTGTTCAGTGAACGGCACAGCAGGGCAAAGTGATATTTTGAGCAGTCCTGAGAGACTAGAGCGAGACAATAAAGGACGAGAGTGCTCTTGTTGCCTGAGGTGGCTTTAGCTAAGAACAGCTCATGCTTTTAGCACTCAGTTTTGTAGAGCACAAGCTGCAGGGCCTATAAGAACAGTTGTTACAACGGGCTGTTTTTGTAGCTACATACACATGAGATGTGCTTCATTTCCCTTGTAGTTTTAAATCTATACTGGATCTAATTTTAGTTATGCAATTTATTGAGGCATGTGATTTTTTTTATCTTATTCTATTTTTTCTACTATAAAATAATCTTATTTTATAGTCTAACAGGTTGCAGATTCAAATTCGTAAGTGAACCATGAGCTGGGCAAGGACAGACACTGTGATCATGCTATTATTGTTCTGAAAGTCATTTTGACCCACACCTTAACTAACTACTACTTTGTGTTTGTAAACAAAGGAATGCATCTACACGGCGTCCGTTGCTGAACGAGAGAAACTTCATCACGTGCCCAATGACAGCAAGTCAAGTGCGAGAATCGCAGCTAATTTGAGACCACGTGGGACTCGATATGGAACAAGGTGTGCTCACTTCATAACTGCTCAATGAAACACTGCCATTTGACAGTTAAATCAGGCCTTGTCGGACTCCTTAGGTAATGTCTCTGAAGATGCTGCTAATGTGCACTACGAACTTTAAATCAGTGAATGTTAATGTATGAATTTAGCATTCTCACTACCCTGTTTTTTTTTTTTTCTGGACTATTCCATCAATAAATGTGTGATGTCCAAATTTTAATGTAGCTTTTATAGCCATTTAATAAAAGATTAATTCATAATAAACTTTTTGGCTCGTCTTCTTGGCTCAGAGTTCCTGTCCTAACTGGACGTCTTAAATAGCATCTGTACTGGATCATTGCTGTTGTGCAGTATATTTTCATGCCCAATTGCCCATCCAGCCATCCGTAATAAGTTTGTCTCTAATGACGTAATTATCCAGAAGATGACATCATTTCCAGTGGGAAAACAACTGCACAAAAATCTGTACAAATAAATGAATATATTCAATCGTATCCTGTTACATAAAATTACTAAAATTGCATATCAACATTTCAAAAGAAAGATCAATTTTAAGTTGACACCCTAATTTAAAGAACTGAGCAATGGAAAAGTTGCTAGTGCTTTATTTCCATCCTGTTAGGAATCGTTTTAATTTTCTTGCCATTATTTAAAAAAAATCCATATGCTTAATCAGTTTAAGTTGTGTATGAGCTTAACCACGGTACATTTTTGAAAGTGTGTCCATTTAAAGAAATTCTTCAAATTATCACACAAGAATTATCTTTATTACAAGAGTTCAAAAGGTACTGCGTAACAGCAATGATCCTACTTCAGAGCCTCTAAGATGTTTGTTTTCCGAGTCTGTGAGATAGTATTCCAGTCTAATCAAGGTAGCGGATTTAATATTGTGTGTCAATAAAATTAAAAGCCGTGCTTGTTAGAGACTAAGGGCCAGATTTACAAAACAGGGCAAATTAGCCTGAGAACGCAATTCCAAAAAAGCACCGATGGGAGTGGAAAGTTCTGCGCGTGATCGACTGAAGCCGCGCAAATGAAAGAACAGACACAGCCGGGCCAGTTCCATAATGACCAACACAATCTACTAAGAGCAGCGCAAATTAGCGTCTGGTTTAAGACGTCTGTTTCTGGTTCATCCTTTATTGTAAATAATGGTGCAAATACCAGTAAATTGTCTAGCGCAAACCTTAGTAAATTGAAATTCTCTCCTCCCATAAACTTTGCGTGTGAAAGGGAAACTCCAACAAATGCACATGCAGATCAGCCGCAAAAATAACCATGTTCACGCTAATTTTTCACTGCGTGTCTTTAGTGAATCCTGACAGTAGTTTATTAACGCCAAAAGAGGGTTTGCGCTGAATGCCCTAATCTGGCCCTAAATGAACAGTGTGTATCTATTGGATCCCACAGGGCTCTCTACTGTAGGTTCACAGCCTTCTCTGGTAAGAGGTTGGTACTTGCTAGTTGGAGTACAGTGACAAGATACAAAAACATAGACAAGTTTTTTTAAGAGTGTGAGAGCATGTGTGCTTTTGCGTGGGTGTGTCATAAAGTGTCTGAGCGTCACGGCCCTGTAATTATCTGAGGTGTAGGTTTCAAATTAACACCGCCACACGCGAACGAGACCTGCACTGATGTCATGTAACAGTGGAGGAGCCGGTTTCTGTTTTTCTCTGAAATGTTGTTTTATCTCCTCCTCTGTTTGTCCCGCTTCATACCCCTCGAAGGCCTTTTTCTGTTTGCAAGTGAGCATATAGATTCAGTCCTGAAACGCTCCACATTCACACACGTTTTGACATCAATGGCAAGGTAAATCTGCAGTTGTGTGCCTGTTAAGTCAACATAAAGAGTAACGTGGGAAGGGCTTTATTCACACACTGAAAAGCTGATTGATTATCCTGAGATAGTCTTATCATTAGTCTTGTTAGATTTTTGTCACACAGACCTCGCACTTTCACCGGCTGACTTCACCTCAAATGAAGTTGGAGGCTTGGAGAACAGCCAGTATTTCAGTTCTTTTTACCCATTCAAAGCGTCTTTAATGGCCTAAATTAACTTTAAACTGAGTATTAGTCACTGACCACTATTGAAAAGTTTTTTTTGGTGCCGTTTACTACAACATACACAAATTAAAACTAAAACACGAAGGAGCAGACCAGAATGTTTTTGGTGCTTTTCATGTAAAGCTCATAATTGGGGTGTTGTGGGTGGTTGACAGGGGGTTTTCAGTGTTGTTAGTGTATTGTTATGCGGTTAACCTTGTTCTGGATGGTTTCTAGGTTGTTTTAAGTGGCTACTTGGTGGTTGCTACAGTGTTTTGGGTGGTTACTAGGTTGTTGCTAGGGTATTCTGGGTGGATGGATGCTATGGTGTTTTAAGTGGCTGCTAGGTGGTTTCATATGTTTCCCATTCATTTTCCTCATACGGATTTAAGCAAATTTGTCAGTAAAGACTTTAAGCTTTTAACTTGTTCAACCAGCTCTGAGATGAGTCACAACATTGATTTGAAACGATCAAACAAAAAATCTCAAAGTTCACTTGGGAATTAACTATAATTCCATGAAGCATTGCGAATAGTATTTACCGTACTAAAAAAATGATGGTACTATAAAACTTGATATATTGTCATTGGTCATAATAAGAATAAAATGTATCCATTTTATATTTATTCAAAAATATTAATATGAACATGCACTGCCGTTCAAAAGTTTAGGGTCAGTAGGTTTTGATGTGTGGTAACCAAGTGAAATAGTTGCACTTTTCGGTTGCACTGTAAAAAAAAAAAAATCTTCTTTTAAGATTGTCGAATGCATTTACTACTACGAGAAGTTCTTCTATTGTACATTGCATGGGCCTTTTGCTTTCTGTGCTCTGAGTGTGTCACAACCCCTGCGAGACGCTGCATACCTGTGTCAACCCACTCCCACCCATCTCCACATAATCTATTAGCGTAGTGACCTATTAAGTCGAGGAATGCTTTGAATGAACCTTCATGACCTTGTAATGGCCGAAAGCCGCTAGTTCAGGATCAAAGCCGGCAGGTTTTTGCTCCTCTGAAACCCGAATGCACACAGAGGTCAGCTTTGTTTGTATTTCAGAAACATCCCTGTCCGTTTGAACTTCCTCCTCTCTCTAATGCGCTTGTTAATCTGATGCACCATTTATATTTCATCACCAATAACCCATTAAAGATATTGTTTGTGATGACAGAGCGTGGGAAGACGAAAGTCCGCTTTGATCCCAGGACGTATCTTGCATATTGCAGTCACCTTGTTTTGTTTAAATGAAAGCCACCAAGAAAAGAGTCAAACATTTACAATGAATTTAACTCTGACTGATTCCAATATGATCCAGTTTCCCGAGGTTTCCAGATCGTTTGGCTTTTTGTCAATGTTTTGCCTGAAGGCTGTACTGAAGTGAATATATCAGCCTGTTTAAAGCTGATACCTTTAGGCCAACATGCTGCTATGTTGTGTTTGTTGTGGCTTTTATTCGGTGGAAGGTCAGTTTTCATGTAGCTGTTCGGGTCGGGACAGATGAGAGGTGGTCTGCCCTAAAGGGATGTCTTGGTCCGGGGGCTTCATTCGGGATGTTATTTGTCTCCTTGCTGTTCTCGGAAGTGGCTCTGACAGCATATGTTAGAAACACGTTCACATCTGCCCAGACTGTGTTTAAAAGCTAAGAGGGTTTAATTATTGATCGCTTCCGTCCCTGAAGAAAAGGGTCCATGGTGTCTCTATGAAGGCTTTGACAGTTGTGTTTCAACCACAGTGTCATTTCCAGCACATCTCGAATGGTGTATAATGTTTAATACCATTCTGTGATGGAAATGATTAATCTATTTATGATGTTTAATTATATTTTAAGATTGATAGCATTCTCTGATGGAAAGGATGATTTTGGAAATGACTTTTTAAACATTTTTGGAACAAAATAGCCGACTACTTTGTCTTGCTAAGGCCTAGTTTCACAACTGGCGTTTTATGTATCCTGAAAACACACAATTAAATAATATTTTTGCTAAATTTAAGCTTAATTGGAAATGACACACATTTATATAAGTCAAATATTTAATTTATAAAAAATATAATGAATTATTTTCACAATATTATAAATAAATATATTTTTTTACATTTTACTGAAATTATATATTTCACTGTTTATATGATCACAGTTTTACATGAAGTAATTCATGTATTTATGATGCTTAATCATATTTTACAATTTAACACCATTCAGTGATGGAAATTATGATTTTGGAAATGACATTTTGACATTTTTTTTAAATAAAATAGCGATTCCTTTGTCTTGCTGAGGCTAATTTCACAGCTAGCATTTTATGTATCCTGAATACACGTGAATAAATTTTTTATTTTTGCAGAATTTTGGCAAAATTGATTGGAAATGACACAAGTAGGCTACTTTGTTTACAAGTGATATTTAACTTTGGGTTTCTTTTTCTTCTCAAGCATTTAAATGACAAAAATTCCACCACATAAAAAAAACAACTTTTATTAGTGGTAAAATTGTTGTGGCATAGTTGTCATTTTTTAATAATTTAAATGTATATTTATATATTTTAAAATTATAATTTATATTTATTTATTCAAATTATTATTTGTTTCCCTTAATGATTAATTATTTGTTTATTAAATTAATTATTTGTTGATCAACAATCAACAATATTATATTATTAAATGTAATAAATCATGTATTTATGATGGATAATCATATTTTAGTGGGTTTGGGACAAAAGTAAAAGAATCTAATCTACATAAAAGGCATCTGAAAAGTCCTGGCATGGTAACATTATAATAATTTCAATTTATTTATTTTTTTAATCTCTTGACAGTTTACCCTCTGTAAATAACCTCATGAGTATGCAGGTTCTTTGGAAAGAAAGCAGGCAATAACCAGGTGTAACAAGAGACTGAAAGAGAAATTCTGGTTTTCTTTTTCAAAATAACCTGCACACACACTCACACTTTGTTTCTCTTCCTCTCATTTCGTCAGTGCATTTGGGAAACATTTTGCAGGAAAGGGCGAAAAGCCATCTGCTTCCTGAGATTCATATTATGGGATGCATGAGCATTAAAATTAGAATCCGGCACATTTGAACATATTGACTCATTTTTGCAAAGCGCATCTTCAGTCTGAGAAAAAGATCGGTTTTGTCACCAGACTGGATTTATCATCCAAATCTGGTAAATATATTTTTTATTTCCATAGCTATATCCAAATTCTTTGTTCATGTGAACCCCAAT